TCATCAGGATTCAACAACCAAGAAGTAAGTATGCCAAAATTAAAATATAGTCTGACACAATAATTGTGCTTTTACTATTCTTACATTTAATAGTGCAAAACTAAAAAAAAAAAGTCAGTATTTTACTATTTTAAATATTCCCAATTCAAAAATATTTCTGTTTGCAACTAGAAAATGCAGTAGCAGTTTTGCAAAAACATGAGGTAAAATACTGAGGTCAAATTATAATGTTAATACTGTTTTTGTGGAACTGAATTATAAAATCAGCAGTCATTTATATAACTAAGAAAAAAGCTTTAAAATACTTTTGCCTGGCATATTGGCAGCGTATATGAAGCAAAGATAGGAAGTCCATTTGGAGCTCAAGCTGTACAGAAGTCAATGTGTGCTAGTAATTCTCTATGCTGGCTTGTTGGATATGGCACTTTACATCTGGGACACTCGAGAAAACTTTCATCAAGGCAGCTGGAATGTTTCAGGGGAGGACTTCTGTCATGTGTGGTCAGCTTCTTGGCAAATACAGCTTGCAAATCTTCGTGTGATTCTGTATGTCCATATTCCCGGAGTTCCTGGAAAAGGAGGAGCTTCACTGTAAGACTGGGGCATACATGCACTGGTCAAACACTGTAGGAAAATATATTAAGGCTTGATGGCAGACAAGGACTGTGCCCTGTTCACCATCAACAAGTCTGAGTGGAAGCACACTGCATCTTTGTCCTGGTGCAACAGACAAAACTGGGTCACACACTGTGATACAGAATACAGAGTGTTCCCTGCTCAGCGCCCTGACTGCTCTGGAGCTCCTGCTGCAGTGCTCCTGCTCTGTGCTCGCTGGAGAGCACAGCATTCCCTCCTGCCTTGCACAGGGCTCTGCGCCTTGGGGAAACAGGCGTAAAGGATGGAGGGACACTTACTCAGTGTTTGAAACAAGATCCCAAAGTAAGAAGATGTATGTTTATGCAAAAAGCCTGACTGAATCCACCTGTGAGTTTTTCAGTACATACCAGGGGTTCCAGACGGGTTATTTTCTCCTTGGCCTTGCGCAGCTCCTTGAGAACATGGTTTAACTCGTGCTTCAAGTTCTGGCGATCAAGCTTTCCATTCTCTAAGTCTGTGGTACATATCTGGATCTGGCAGCCCAACAAAGTTAAAAATTAAAATCAAAGTTAGTATGAACTGGGAGGAATGTTTCCCATTTATATATTTAAAGTCAGTTTTGCTCTGCAATAACTTCTTAAAATGGGATTAAAAGGAAAGTTTAAAATTTAAAATTTAAAAAGGAAAGTTAAAAATTTAAAAGGAAAGTTTAAAATTAAAAGGAAAATTTAAAAATTGCTGTTGCTTTCATTACAGTGAAATTCTCACATGCCCAGTTATTAAGATCTCCCTTAGAAGAGGTACAGTTTGAAGTTATTTTGATTGGAGGGTTTGTCAATTTCAAATAAAGAAAATAGAAAATATGGCAATGCAATTATTTCTATAACTATATCAAAAATATACCACAAAACTTTAATTAGGTGATTTGTTTTAGGATGTTTCTTGTGCCTTATCTGAGGCTTTACCTGTTGAACAAGTGATTGTGGAGAAAACAACATCAGGTTTGATCATACCCTCTTATCAATACAAAGTTACAGATTTTCCTCCTGACGCTTGTCAAAATTTTTGAAAGCATCAAGAGATTATATAGAGATGAATATTCATGCCTAACATTACTTTATTTGATATACTAATCATTGTTAAATGTGAAGTTAGTCTAGAAAGACTTTGTGCCTAACACAGATTCAAAATCAGCACTTTAGCACATTATTTTGTACCTGTTGTTCCAACAAAGCTATTCTTGTGTGTTCTGCCTCCTGTCTGAGCAATGATTTACGAAGGAGTTGCACCTACAAGGCAGATGAACAATTGTAACAAACAACTTCCATATACAATAGTTAATAAGGTAAAAAAAATTAATTTATGAGATGGAAGCAAACACTTATATTCCAATGCCAACAGAAAATGTAGCAGATGAACAATTGTAACAAACAATTTCCATATACAATAGTTAATAAGCTAAAAAAAATTAACTTATGAGATGGAAGCAAACTCTTATATTCCAATGCCAACAGAAAATGTATGCCTGCTATGCAAGAACCAAACTCAATTCAAATCACTACTTCCCCAAGGAAAAATCTAGTGAAAAATTATTATTGCATCAGGAAGGGAGAATGCAGGATGATGTTATTGTTAAAAAAGAAACCAAAACTGGAAGCCTTCTAGGTGATTGCCAGGATGCTGACCAAAATATACTCACAAAACCTATGTTTGCACTAATATGATATGACGTTGATAAACACAAACAATGCAATTGTTTTAATATAAGAGAACAGCTTTAAGGGTGAGAAACTACTGTATTATAACCATTAAGTAAATGCATACATTAAAATATCCTCTGCTTTCAGCATGTATCAACTTTTATGATAATGCTGTTGTTCAGCTTCAAAAAATAAAATAAAATAATAAAATAAACATATTTTAATCATTATTAACCAGTAAGAACCAGTCTGTCTTTAGAAAGCTTAAGTGTTCTGCTTTTGGCCTACTTTGGTGTCTAGTAAATTTTATTCTCGTATTTCAAATATCAGTTTTATTTTAGCTGCCAGCTGACAGCAAATATTAGTGGTATTCCATAGTTAGGAGCACATGATAAAATGAATTTTTAGCTTTCTTGTTCTCATTTACTATTAGTCTAAAGGATGAACTATATTAGAAAAAATTAAATATTTTCTACCCTCTCTTTTGTAGCCCTTAAAACTAGGGAAATAAATGAACAAAGTTTCTTTTTTAAACAATTCCATTTTAACCACAAGGACAGAAGTGTATATCTATGTGAAGAATAGTTACCAGAGAAAGGGATGGTCCATTCTGATTAACTATGAATTTTCATATATCTTGATTCTTTGCTAATGATCTCAAACCTCCAAATCCATTCACTTACCTGACATAAAAGATCTTTAGACTTTTCTTTTTCTTCTCTGAGCTGTTCTTTGATAGTTTCATTTTCCTGTTTTAGTCTTAGTGCTTTCTCTTTCATTTTATTTTCATTTTCTTGAGTCTTCATTTCAGCAAGCCGTTGTGACTGCAATAAGGCATTTAAACTCATCATTTCCCCTTCTGCCTCTTCATACATCTTTTTAAGTTTGTTAAGGTCAGATCTCAGCTGGGTTATAGTGTGTCTTTCAGTGTCAGGATCACGTTTAGCAGTTAGTAACAGCTGGTCAGAGTATTCTTGCTTTTCCTCTTGCAGATGACCTTAATGAGTCAGAAATAATCGAGTTAGCAATGTGAAAAAAAAAAACCCACTTAAAAATCAGAACACTATATCTTTAACAGCATTTTAAGAATTATTAACAGAAATTGCCATAGTAGGCTATTTCACAGCTCAGATTAGAACCAAACTTTGGTTGAAACAGCTTTCAGTATTTATAATACATTAAGTCTCCTTATCAATATACTTACTGGAAAACACAGTTCTTCTAAGGCCTCATGCATTATATTGACTTATAGGAATCTGACCCAAAGACACTGGATTACTACTTTTATTTTTAGGCTCTTTAGCCAAGCTGCTGGTATTACTGCCTCCCCAGAGATACCCTTGGGGAGATGATAGATTCTACTTCAACCTTTTTGATCAAAGCCAGACCTTCCACTGTCTTTTGCAGACCATCTTTTCCAAAGAGTATGCCATAATTTACTTCTAAATAGTAAATAGAAAGGATCGGGACAGTTCTTTTGATTAAAAATGCTTTAGGTTAGAAAATTTCTGCTTGTTGACCCAAGAAAAGTTTAATAAGTAGGAAAAAATTAAGAAGCAGATTGCAAAAATTCAGGAGCAATACAAAATATATGTAGAAGCAGAATAAGGGATGCAGAATTTCATGGGCTTTGCTGATTTTTGGCACTGTAAGTTTTGTGGCTTTGATACCTTTCCTATTGAAGACTTACCCTAATTATTCATAGTGTAATTTACTAGGGAGAGTTTCCTGCTTGAATGTTGTCCCTTCCCTCAGCTAGGAATTAAGCCCTATCTTCTCATTAGCAATACTCCTTTACAGGGTAATGCCATCCTCAGAGACAGGCCAAGTTTTCCCTGGAAAAGGTTTTCATATATATACTTTCCAGAAAGATTCAAACAGCAATATAGAAACCAAGCCACTGCCCATGAATTACTAGTGCCAAGCCTGTGGGTATGCTCTTACTCCACATGATGCTAGTTCTGTTTATTGAATTTACCTTGCACGTCAGTTACAGCATGTATGAAATCAATAATTTGGTAATAAGAAAAGCAAGTCAATGCCTTCTGGTTCTTCTGCTTAATATGATTTTAATTTTATTGATACTGAGAGGGTGTGTCTTATTGAGGAAGTGCAGAAGTGAGCTGGAGGTGGCCAGATCCTCATTGTGAAACACTGCTTTGGAGAGGTGCCAAACCTATCACAGGTTCTTGCCCTGTAACAACTGTTCAGGTGAGTAAAGAACACGGCAGTCTTGAGTCATTTTTATAATATTTATTTTGAAAAAAGTCAATTTAAAAAAATCTGATCCACACCTAACTAATAAATCCTTAATGCTTCCATTATGTCTACTGAAAGTGTACTTTGAAGGATGGGAGACATACATCTATTTGCATCAACACTTTCCACAAACAGAGAGGTTGCTAATAGAGTGTCAAGGCTGTTTAAAACCATCTTTGAAGTGGATAAGAACAGGAAGTACTGTTGGTCAAGTAACAAAGATAGATAACAGGAAGCAGAGGAATATTATTTAACCAAGTTGTACCATTAAGCAGCCAAAGCATTGAGAACAAAGTCTTGATTTTAAGTGTGCTATAATTTGCTCTCAGAAAATTTATTCTATAGATAATTATGGTTTGGGTCATTTGTGGGGGTAAAAATGAAGCTGATACCTTCTGAATTTGATTTAGATTCTTGCTTGCTAGCTATTTCTGCCTTCTGTTCCAGTTCAAAGATCCTTCCAAGCAATCCCCTGACATATGCTTCTCGTTGCTGGTCATACAGTAGCCACTGCTGATTTTTCTCAAGAGCCTTCATAAAAAGAAACAGAAGAACAACAAAAAAGTCTCTGGTAATTAATCAGCTTTTAAACGTATTTGTCTTATGTCTTCAAAATATTAGAAGTTATGTATTAGACGTTTAAAGATAAGCTAGTTAAGTCTGCTGCAAATTGTAGTAATCTGTACAACGAATAAATAAATCCATCTTCATTTGGGAAGTTAATTCAGGATGCTGAGCATAAGTTAAAACTGCAGCAATGGGTTAGTTACTTAAAGAACAAAGGCTTTCACGAGTCATGCCTAGATTATGAAGAATTAACTTATAACTCTCAAATATAAAATAAAATATAAAATAACAGACCTTGAAAATGGAATAAAATGAAACTATATCATTGCAATTTAATTTATAAGAACAAGGATATGGATTTTCTAGTTGCTTGGCTCATAGACTTATTCAGTTTGAAGGGACTTGAGGAGGTTTCTAATCCAACCTCATGCTATGCTGGGCAGTGTCAGGTTCCTAGAGGCTTCTGAATTGTCAGCAACCATTTTGTTCTGATGTTCCAAGCAAGGTCTTTCAAAGATTATGGAAATCTTAATTTTTTTCTTTTGCAAGTTTTTGGGTTTTTAAATTTAAATTACTGCCTTGTTACAAAATCATTTTAGGGATTATATTTTAGAGAGAAACATACCCTCTGAGGTCCCATACTACCCCAAAATGTACATGATGAAAATATACATTCTTCTGCATCTCAATACAGATGGTGTGTACTTGAAATTTACAGGAAACTTACATCTTTCAATTGTCTTTCAACTTCAGTGGTGTTTGTTGCCACTTCCTGTGGACAAAGAACAACTTGTTAGTGTTGTTTGAAACAGCAAAGCTACTCCTGTACAGCTATTAATCTTACATGAAGAGCATGAGAATATTTTAGAAAACTAAATCAGACGCATTTAAAAATTAAAACAGATGTGCCTTTTGTGTTTAAAGATCTTTATATTTGGTTGCTGGGGTTTTTTTTTTGAAGGACCCAAGTTATGTAGAAAGCCATTTCATATATTTAAAATATACTCTTCTGCAAAATATGAGACAAAGATTTACATAGAATTTATTCTGCAACTCATAGTTACATTATAATATTTCCTAAGGAAACCGTAATGTATTTTCTGATGAACTGCTGTCTTGGAAGTCCTGAAGGGTGTTCTGCAAAGAGGTTTTGAAACATGAAGATATTTGAGGGTATTATTTAAGTACACAAGGAGAGGTAAATGTTTTTTTCTATTTTGTATCCTCATACATTTGACAATGACCCAGAGAAGCTGGGGAGAAGCCAGAGACCTCGATGCTTCCCTGGGATAACAGGAAGACTGTAATCATCTGGGAAATCGTGCAGACCTGTCTACAAGCACAAGGATAAACTGCCTGATTTTCTGAGCCTGATCCCCACTACAGTGAGTATGACTTATGAGTAGGAGACTTCTTGAGACCCATCTAAAACTGGAGAGCAGTTATGCAGTCATGTTTCTCCCACTCTGACATGGATCTTCTCTGCAGGATACAAGGTGGTTATGAAATTGTGTAGATATAAGTCAGAGGGAACTTCAATGAGGAAAAAATAAAGTAGATTACTACCCAAATCCAAACTACATTTTTTCCAACATTTTCCTATGGATCTTGGAACATGATTTACAACAGAATTTATAGCTAAAAAATACAGAACTTTGAATACAATTATTAAACTTAAACACTTCATAATAAAAATAAGATTTAGAGACACTGAACTTGTTTCTATGAACATCAGAGTCCTGCCTTAGTAAAAACTTTCTCAAAATTGTGTCATAAAACCGTTGTTTCCATTTCAGATCTAGTATGCCACCTAGCAGTTTCAAGCAACATTGCTAGACTTGTTTTCAAGTTCTCCAAGACATCCAGTAAAACATCATTGTCCTCTGTTGATAAATCAGTTAAAATCTTAAAAGAAAACTATGGTTTTAAACTAATACATATTTTGGTGGTTTATTGACAAAAATATAATGAAAACCTGTTGACTTAATACACATTTTAACACCTCTAATGAAGTTCAAAATTTAAAATAAATATGTTGCATTTAAAGTGGCATTTCTCAATAAACTGCATTATTAGAAGTACTATATATACTTGTGTAACCATTCAAAAGTCGTAGATGAAGATATTCTATTATGTATTTGGGTATAGCAGAATTTCTAGAAATTGCTTAACTCCCGTGTAGAGTGTAGGGAACCAGCACCATCTGCAGGTCAGAAGCTGGAAAAGAAAGGCTTACAGCCACTTATTTTTAGGTACCTGTACCTAAACAACTTCCCTGTGCCCCTCATAGAGATACTACTGCATTTTCCAAAGAACATTAGAATGGGGCAGGGGTGGAAAAACAACTGTAGAATCCTAAATGGACTTGCAAACACTGCCAAGGATTGGCACTATACCTACTGACCACTTCACATGAGAGGAGAAACTCATCATTCCTGTCCTATCCTGTGCCACATTGAAGAACTTACCATGTGTGATGCCATAGAAAATAAAGAAAATTAGTTTTAACAACTGAGATGCAAATGAGGATTCCTAAGAGCAGAGAGAAGAAAGATATTCTCGTGACTGAAGCTGAATTAGGTGAGGAGCTTAGTTTGTCTTTATTAGTGCCCTATATCTCTTATCACTGCTGCCTCTCACTCTGTCTAATCACTGAGCACACAAATCTGAGAAGGGCACAGTTCCTGCCTAAGCACCAGTGGATCGTCCCAGTAGTCACACACTACCTGTGTGTTACCTTGAACTAGGGACCTTGCAATACAGCAGGAGAGAACTCCCTCCCCAGCTATGTTGCCTGAAGTGTGCTCTCTGTTCTTCATTTTGAGTTCAATCTGGATACCATCTCGCTTCTTACAAGAATACTTCAGCATGCAACACAGCTTGTAAGAAAATTAAAAAAAACATCCTGTTTTATAACAGGTATTGATGCTTAGTGGGCACAAATTCCAATTTGCAATTGCAATATTTCTTCAGTGCTTACCTGGGATGCCTGAGAAGTACTACTGGCTCCATTCTCAAGGTCAGAGCATTTTGCCATGACTGCAGATAAATTACATTTTAACCTGTTAATTTCTTCTGATAGAGAACAAAGTAACTGTTCTCTCCTTTCTGCTTCCTTTGTTTTTTCCTCCAGTTGATTTTGTAGCCAGGACACTTCACTATTCTTGGTTTTGGACCTAAGCTTGTCTTTCAGGTTTTGGATTTCTCTGTCCTTCTCTCCAAGAAGATGGTTGTATTTTTCTTTTCCTTTCTCAAGCAAAAGTATTTTCTAAACAAAACAGAATAAAGAGTAGGTGTTAGTCTATGCATCAAATGCATCAGCAAGTTTACAGTACTTTGAGATGTTCTGAGCAGTAGGGCCTAGTGGAAGGTGTCCTTGCCCATGGCAGGTGGGTTAGAACTAGGTGATCTTTAAGGTCTCTTTCTACCCCATTCTATGACCTTATGATTCTATGATGCTCACTTTCAACGTTCTCTCTTAGCCTTTAATTAGCTGAGAAAATTACTTTTAAGTCAAAAAAGACAATATTGGAGCAATCATCTGAAATATTTCAAGTGATAGTAAAACTAGTCTGAAATAGGAGAGAATGAAAAGGACCGAGTTTCACAGGCTGGGTAAGTACTCAGCTTTGCATATGAATAAAGATCACTACAGTATATGAGCCATAAAATAAAAGCAGTACAAGAATTCCAAAACAGTTCCAGCAAAGGGGCTGGTGCTACATTTCTTAGTATATTTGGTAGCTTTTGGGAAGCAGCAGAGCCTTCTGGCAAACATGACAGTGAGTTGTAATAAAGCATTCAGGAAAAGGATCCTTTTTTCCATGTTATCTGGCCCTGTAGTTTCAAAATGTGTGTTAGTAGATATTTTCAACATGCACTCTTTCCAGTAGGCCTCCAGGTAATCATTACACACAATTAGTACTGCATTTAAGATGCTATGGGGCTCTACACGAACTTCAGATGTGACAGCATTTAATTCTGCTAAGAAAGGCTGATGTCAAAATCCCGCATGTTGATATCAAGTCATTAGGAAGAGAAACTGAAAGAAAGTGAATTTGGGAGAGCCTCAGTTAGGGAGTGGTTGAACACCACTGCTCACTACACCACACCAAAGAGTACCCGATGTATTCAAACACAATGGTGATTTTGCACCTGTATTTTCTAGTTCATAGGAAAACAGTATTAAGTAACCAACACCATGCAAACACCAACAGACTCAGCAAATACACTAAGGAATCTAGCCAAAACTGTGCATGAGCTGCCCAGCCATAGCTCATCCTTGGCTTAGGACTTCTCAACTGTCCCTGTGGCACAGACAGATGGTACAGCCTTTTGGTTAAAAAAGTGGCCTAGAAATAGAAATATTACTATGCCTAGTCCACATTAGTTGTATTCTTTTCTAGTGTCCATCTAAAGTTTCCCCATCCTTCTGGGAATCCTGACAGGCTGTGACTATGTCACCTATTAAGTCTTGAATGTCTCTCTCTGCAACCACAGGTTTACCTCGAGTGGAACAGTCAGAGACATACAGATGCTTCAATACCTTGCAGTGTCTTAGTTTCTGCTCTTATCTGCAATGGAACAGTTTCATTTACCTATAGCTGAGTGGAAGCTTGACAATTCAATTTAAACAAACACTCTGCACTCTTTGGCATGTTCTTAATCAAATATTTTCAGGAAGTGCTTAAAATACTTCTCCGAGACGTGAGGACAGGTCTTAATGGACTAAATGGCACCTCTGACCTCAAGTCTTTGTATTTACCAGCCTTGTCAGATGAGTGTGATTTTATTAGCTCAGCTGTCATTGAAAAATATCTGAGAATGAAAATGTGAAACGAAAAGTTTGTCTGGACTGTCTAACACTACTAAACCAGCTGTGACATGGAAAGTTTCGAGAGGAAAGGTGGGGCCCCTGCTGGCGAGGCCGAGCGCCGTGCCCGTGGGACGCGGCCCGCGCTGGCTCGGGCGAGCCCGGCTCACCTGCAGGAGCTCGCTCCTCTCCGGGTCCGTCATTTTGCCTTTGCCTGTGGCCACTTCCTCCATGGATTTCCGCGGGACAGCGCCCTCCCTCTTACCCTTCTCGAGCCCACTGTCAGCTCTGGAGCTGCCCGACTTCAGGCCCCCCTTGCCGATAATTCGATCTATGGCGTTCATCGTTAGGCGCCTGTACAAACCGAACGAGGCTCTACGGAACAGCGATCCCTTGTCGCGGGCAGGACGAGGCTTCCGACAGCTGGAGGCGAGCGCAGGCGGCGCCGGCCTTCCCGGGTCCCGCGGGGCTCAGAGGGGCCGCGGGGCCCGGTGCGGGCAGGGCCCGGCGGCGGCTCCGTCCGGCCCCGGCCCCGGCGGCGGCTCCGTCCGGCCCCGGCCCGCGCCGCTTCCGGGAGTTTGAATCCCGCGGCTCCGGGCCGTCACTTCCGGGGTTTCGGGATGGTCCCCGCGGGGCGGTGGCGGCAGGGGCGGTGTCTCCCCGTGTCGCCGCCCCCTCGTGTCGCCGCCCGGCCGGTGCCGTCCGTGCCCGCCGCTGCCCGGGCTCCCGGCCGAGTGTCTGCGGCGGTGCTCGGCCAGCAGCGCGCTGCCGGAGCGGGGAGGGCCCGCAGGGTCTGCAGGGCCCGCTCAGTGCTGTCTCTTCCGTGTCTGTGTCCCCTTTCCTCCCTGAACACGTGGGGTTTTTCTCCAGAAATTCTCTCCATCTACCCCAAATCTAATAATTTTAATAATTACAAAGTAAGCTAGCATAGGTCTCATGTGACCGTGTAAAAACTAGGCTGAACTTGTGGCTCCTTTTGCTGTCTTCCCGTCTCCTCTCTCCTTGGGGACACGCGTGGCAGTGGCAGCCTGAACCTCTCGGGTTTTTACTTCTGCTCACAGCTGAGAATAATTCTGAGCGCGGGGGAGCTCAGAGCTCTCGTGCTTCTCATGTAAGTGTTACCTAGTTCGTGTTACCGGAGTGTTCGTGCGCGTGTTTAAGACAAAACAGTCATAGGCCTCCAAACTAAAAAGAGAGTCTTGTCACTTTTAATTTCTTTTTTTTTTTTTTTTGCACGCATTTCCATAATGCTTTTTAATTTTTAGTTGTGAATACATATTTAAATAATTCTACTATAAATCTACGGTATCCAGGATGTTCCAGGAGGAAGCTGCAGTGTCATTCCAGAATGTAACTGGAGGGGGAAGACTTACACTGTTTTTTGGGATCATCGCCAGTTTCTGACTAGGCTGCCATGGAGACAAACCAAAAGCATTTGCGAGCAATGAAGTTCTAAAAATTAGGGGAAAAAAATGCAAACCACCGTGAAATTTCATACCTTGGTATACCGAGAGGCAGATGTAGTTTAGATCGAGTTCTCGAGTCGTGCTCAGTGTTCATGTTGTTTAATGCTTATTCTTGCCTTGGTTTCTGACAAGAGATTTATCACGCAGTTTTAAGAATAAAAGCAGCAGCAAGAAACCTGAATTTTTGCAGTGTGCCCTTTCTGTTGCAAGATTTCAGTAGCGAAAGCTCTTTCTATGCAGCAAGACAGAACCTGGTGTCAATTTACAGGACTGTTTTTTTTTCGCAGAGCTTTGAGCAGCTAGTCCGTCATAGATCCACCCATAGACCTCCTTTGCTGTAAACCAGTAATTCCCTGCCTCCTCTTCCTGCTAGCAGTTCAGTCCAGAAGTTAAGGACTGTGAAACTGAACATTTAATTCCTTCGGTAGTAGTCAACATTTAGGCAAGAGGGAAACAATGCTTCGGGTGATTGTGGAATCTGCTACCAATATCCCTAAAACCAAGTTTGGGAAACCAGATCCTATCGTTTCTGTTATTTTTAAAGGTAAGCAAAACTGTCATAAATGTAGCCAGGGAAGAAGTTTTGTAAAAGATAGTGCCCTTTATAAGTATCTGAAAATCTGGGAAATCATGTTTTCCAGGAATTACATTTGATGTAATTTTAGGGAAGACTTTTTAATTAGAGACAGGAGTTACCTGAATGAAGTTTGAACTGGGTGGAGCACATTGGTCTGTTCTGAGCAGCTGTTCTTCTGTTTCAGGATCAACATTTTACAAGTTTTTCTAAAAGATTAACCTG